GTTGCAAAGAGGCAAAATTTGTTTTAAGCAAAGAAGCAAAACAATGATGTTTTAAAGAAAGAAGCTGAGGTTCGGAAAGCAGTAGTTAGTGAGCTCTGATCCTGGAATCGGATGGAGTAAGTTGATCTATTCAGCAGTTTTAGGAGAACTGAAACTTTCTATAGTCTGTGTCATTTGCCAGCAGCGATGCAGAGTGTGCTCACTGCTCTTCCCTCCTGTGCTCCCCGCAGGTCTCTCCCTTCCCGGACGCCCCGGGCGGCGTTAGCTGTGGCAGCCTGCCGGCCGTGTCCCGCGCTCCCGGCTGCCACCTGATATGGTCCCGGTGGCCGGTGGCCTGGGGCCGGCTGCTCGGGGCGGGGCCCGATGCCGGTGATCCCCATTCCCCGGCGGGTGCGYTCGTTCCACGGTCCCCACACCACCTGCCTGCACTCCGCCTGCGGCCCCGTGCGCACCACGCACTTGGTGCGCACCAAATACAACAACTTCGACATCTATCTCAARTCGCGATGGATGTACGGATTCATCCGCTTCCTGCTGTATTTCAGCTGCAGCCTCTTTACCTCCATCCTCTGGGTGGCTCTCTCGATCTTGTTTTGCCTTCAGTACCTTGGCATCCGCATCTTCCTGCGCTTCCAGTACAAACTCTCCATCATCCTGCTCTTGCTGGGCCGCAGGCGGGTGGACTTCAGCCTCATGAATGAACTGCTCATCTATGGAATTCATGTGACCATGCTGCTGGTGGGGGGGCTGGGATGGTGTTTCATGGTCTTTGTGGATATGTAAATAAAACCAAGCGCATGTGGGCTCAGGAGGTGACTTTTCTTCTACCCCCGAAATGTGTCAATGTCCTCTTTTTTTTTTTTTTTTTTAATATAAATTAATTTATTTTACAGTGCTATTTTTATGGATGAATTAACATGTTTGTCTCTGGAATTTGTATCTTTTCGAGAGTCGAGGTGCCATTTTGATTATCACAATGCAACACTTGACTGGGTGTTTTATTCTTTGCATAGTGCAGGTTAATATAAGTTTCTTTTAATCCATAAGAGCCTATTTTGCTGCTGTTCCTGTGTTCCTGTGGGTGTGAAAAAGGCAGTGATTTATCTGGAGGACAGAASCCAGATAATTTTGCACCTCACACTCTTAATTCATTTTCACCATTTTCCAAAAACATTTCTTAATCTCTCAGGCATGTAATGTATATTATCCTTGTAGTTTTGCCTTTTGCATATTCCCTACTAAGAATCTGGGGCCAAAATTCAACAGACTGTAGGGAATTGGGAGTTTCTTTTCCTCTTTTATTTTTAGATTTATGCAAGACACACATTTACCCCACTCTACTGTTTTATCCACTTTAAGGTGATTATATAGCTTTGAGTGGCTTTGTYCTTTTCAGGCATTTAGTGCTGAGTAATTGAGTCTTTTCCCTAATAGCACAAATCCACGGGAGGGATGGGAGCAGGGCTTGCTATCATGTGCTCCTGAAATTCCCAGTCACGGCAAATATGTTCTCATTTTGCAGTGATTAAGGGGGACCCATTGCAMTGATCCTCAGCGTTCAGATCTTGGCATTCGGTTCTACTTCTCCCTGAATTGATTAGTTCCAGTTTTCTCACAGATTYTTCTGTCTCACAAAGTACAATGAGGTGAGACTGTCTTACCTAGGAGAGATTGGAGGCAGAGGGCAGCTTGAACTGGCAATAATTGTTCCCTGAAGTGACACAAATTGTTCTACCTCTGCAGCAGGGAGGGAGGGTGGGGGTCACTGCAGAGCGTTATTCAACAGCTCAAAAAGGCAGTTGAATATTAAGCTCAGTTCAACTGGTCTTGATCTAAGATGTCACTGTGCAGTCAGACAAGTAACTCTATTTACAGAGCCCAAAAGCTGGCCTAAAGTTTATTTTTATTCTGCTTTTGTTTGTTTGTTTTGCCTTATTATGGAATATTGCCTTTTTCCCTGCATTCTTCAAAGAACTGTTTGAAAACAAGTTGGTAAAAATGATGGAGAACCTTTTCCCCTCCACAAAATCTTCGGGGTCAATCATAGGGAAATAAGCAGGAGTGGGGTTACATGACTGTTTTTTTATCATCTCTTTGGTCAGAGCTGGGAGTGTGGTTGAGAACAGGGAAAGATCCTCCACATTTCAGCTTCACTGAGTGCTGCACTCTTTTGCTGACATGCTTTGGTTTGGAGGCTTGTGGATAGAAAATAGAGAAGCTTCTGTGTGGAGCCCAAARCTAAAGCACCCCCCGAAATTCTCTCGTTATGGAGCATTGCAGATAATGYAGCTGAACGGCAGAGCTGAATAAATAATGGCCACGGTGGTGTGAACTTTAGATTAGCCCCGAGAGAGCCAAAGGCTCTTTCTGCAGCAAAGATGTAGCATCAGCATCTGTCACAAACCTGTGTCTGGAACTTTCCTCCCAACAGAGAGCTCCCCAGAGCCTTTTCTGGGATTTTTCTCCATACTGCAGATCGTGGGTGTCCTGCAGGTCTGAGCTCCACCTTGTTCTGTGAGCAGAGAAAGCTCCCAGGAATCCCCAGCTCCAGGGTGGCTGTGCTCAAAATTCCTGCAGAAAACCAGCAAAAAGCCTTGGTGTGAGCTGTGAGAGCAGCTGGGATCCTCCCTGGGTGCTGGGACCTTGTTTCACCTGAATTTCAGCCCTCCTTGGGTAATAAAAGGGTGATTTGTGCTCCCGTACCTGCTGCTCCTCTGTGATGGACACACTCAACTGTTTGGCCAAATTTGTGCTGGTTTAGTTCCTGCTCCGAAGGAAATCAAGCTCTGGACTGTCCCCAGGCCGTGAACTTCTCTGTTTTCCCGGTGTTCTTTGAAAACCCCCMCAGGAACAGGGTGACACGGGCAGCTTTGATGTGTGAGCCCGTAAAGCAGAGCAGCGATCATGCGATTAACACATCAATAGCAGGTGCCTCTTCCAGCGCTAATTTGGTCAAGGAACAAAGGAGCTTGTGGGCACGAGGAGTCTCTCACAACCTTTTTCATCGCTGGTAATTTGACTGCGAGCCAGCTGCTTTATTCCATAAATATTGCAGCCTGGTGAGCCTCTTTGGAGCTGTCCCTGCTGAGCAGTTGTGGGACAGGGGGATCTCCCTGGAGCTGGGACCTCCCAAGGTCACTCCTGGACCCYTTGCCAGCTSCAGGGACCGATTTTGAGCATAAAAYSTCATTATSACAGARCRTTCAAATCTCATTTTGGGAGCCCTGGGTTGTTATCATGTCCTTGGTGCATAGAGTGGGAGATTGAGCTTCACTTTTACACCTTTCTTCCATAAACCCACTTTGGCTGCTCAGATTTCCGTGTGCCCCATGTTCTGAGGAAGAAAGACACATCCTTGTGAAATCAGAAAAAAATAATCTTTGCCAAATGCCCAGATATTCCTCAAGAGACACCCTGGGGCTGAGCTGCTTTAGCTCAGTGACTCCCCAGCATCTTTTACAGAGGTAGCTGAATACCTGCACACAGAATGTCCTGAAGCTCAGGGCACACAGAGTTCATCAACCCCAAAATTAATTTATTGAGGCAGCCTCAAAGGCACCATGAAGTTAAAAAAACTCAGATTTTTGGTCATTACCAGCACTCGGACACCGTGGTGATGTGATCCTACCAGCAACGGGGTAAGTGAGGTCCCTGTGAAGCCATGCTGGCAAAGAAGAGGAATTAATTATCAAATTATTTGTTTTATGATGTAATAATTTAGACATTTTAGCTCTACCTGAGTGGAGCAATATTTGGCACTTTTCCTCTTCAAAGCATTTTCCAACTGGAGCTAATTAAACCTCACAACATCCCCAGGAGGTTGCAGAATAAGTAAGATCTTGGGAATGGTTCAGAATGTAAATTCATTGGTTTTAATTTTTTTWAAAAAGCTTTTAGGATTATTTTGCCAAAGTATTTCTTTCTTGCAGGATTGAGATTCTAAAACTTTTTAGGAGCTGAAAGGGAGCCAAGCCACAACTGAGGGAGGGAGAAAGGCAGACTAAATGTTGTATTAGGTTTATGCAAAGAATAAGTTTAGGGTTTTTTCCCCCTCTTAATTTAATTGAAAAACCTGGCATTTTTGAAAATGGGACACACAAAACTTTGTAGAATATGAGTAAGGAAACAGGGGAAGTTGAACTTTGTGCTTTTCAAGAGTTGTTTATAATATTTGCCAGTTATATTTCATGTTGAGCAGGTTCTTGCAGACTGTGCCTCATTGGGGAAGTTCATGTTCWTTTGGATATTTCACTCTTTCCAAATTCAGTGTTGCTGGTGAAGGATTAGGCTCCAAAATGTATTAAGTCTATTAAAGCTGTATAGATAGTTTGAAGTCTAACGTTACGAAATTTGCATTTCAGCATTCCTTCATGCAGATTCCATCCTGAACAGCGAGAGCAGATGGTTTGTTTGGATTTTTCCTTTTTTTCCATGTTTGGTCTTTAAACGTTGCTATTCTACGTAGTGCGTTAAAATAATCCTAAGAGCAATTAGGAAAAACACTGGAAATACTGATTTGGGAGAGTGTGTCTGTTGCAGAGYTATTCCAAACCCTTTGGAGTGTGAGTCCTGCTCTCTCCAGAGCTTTCCAAGTGTTTGGGTGGCAGGGAGACCCCTCCTGAGGAGCTCTGCGGTGGCGAAGCCGCCCTGGGCCTGTTGTTCAGCCTGGGAATGTTTRAACGAGACTGAAATGTTGGAGTTTCACCTCGTTAGCTCCTCAGAACATGGCACCAGCTGGTGTTTTGGGTGCCTGTAAAATTCTCTATGAAACATGCCACCTACATTCAACTTGGGTTTTTAACATGTTGGTGGATGGGTTGGGATAAAAAAGGAAGAATTTCCTCATCTCGTGATGGTGTTGTTCTGATGTGGGGGTGGCACAGCAGAGTGGGGGCACAATTTAGGTTGGATGTTGGACTTGATCTTGGAGGTCTTTTCCAGTATTAATGACTTTGTGATTTTATGAAACAGAGCAAGGCAGGGTAGGGGAGATGGAAGGAGATGGAAGGAGATGGAAGGAGATGGAAGGAGCTGTCACTTCCCACTGAGGGGCACAGTGGTGAATTCCTAGAAGGTTCTCTCTTTCCTCTTTCCCTTGGAGGAGCTGAGCTCCCTGTGCAGAGCTGCAGTTTCAGGGGACAGTTGTGATGCACCCTATGGGAATGGGGGAATATTCCTGCTGTGGTGGGCTTTGTATTCCTATTATCCTTGTGTGGAAAGCWCTACAGCGATGTGCAGGAGTAAAAAACCCTAAAGCAGATGCTGGGCAGGACTTGTTGATCTTGGAGGTGATGGAGCACAGRTTTTGTGGACAGGAGCATTACAGACCAGACTGGAGATGTATTTGTGTGGATAGAGCAGCCCACAAACCCCATGTGTGTAGGGGATGCTCCTTTTGGTTACCCCAAGGGTTGGAGAGTCACAGTGGAGAAGGGGAAGGAGGTTTCTAAGAGAGAGAAGAATTTAGGCAAGGGGGGATGTGTTTTGCTTTCAGTGAAATGTGAGTATCGAGCCTTTGCCATCTCCCAGAGAACAATTGGTTTGCCCAGTTCCTRGAGGGAGCTTTGGGGCCAAGTTTTGTCCCAGGTCATAACTGCAAGTCTCCAAAAGCAGACTGGAGAGGAACCCAGCCCCTCACCTGCCTGAAGGCTCACTGCAATTCTTCCCAGGGTTCTCCTACGTCACTGACTTGATTTCCCTCTCTCCTGGGGAGGTAGGAGACAGTCTTTACTTCACTTGTGGAAAACAGCACAGCACGTTTCCCTCCAGGAACAGCTTTGGCTGTTCTGGATCCTCCAGCACACACAGATAGAACGCTGTTCCAGCGAACACGTTGCTGGAAAATATGAAGCCTTGTTATCTTTCTGCGTTTTTATTTAGCC